GTGCTCGTTCAGCCACCAACGGACCTCTTCTGGAGACACGTAAGTTGTGGAATTCTCACATTAGGGATACTGAAAGTTCCTGTTTGGCTCTACCGTTGGGAATTCATTCCGCCTGCGAAAGGGGACGAGGCGGGTGTATTATATCGGCAGAAGGAGGGGGGGAGTAGAAAGTGTGTCAATGACAACAATTGATTACAAAGGGCGGACGTTTGCATGAAGGATGAAAAGGAGTAAGCGCTTTTCATGAAGGATGAAAAATAGTAGGCGCTGGTGTAGTTGTGAGTGGGGGGGGAAGAGTGTACGAGTATAAGCCACGCTGTAGTGGTTTGCCCCTCATCGGACATCCACCCTCGAACCCTATATCGTCGAAAAGACGTGAAGGAAAAGGAGAGTGCCCTCAAAGGCTAGCAGTCACATTGAATCAAAATTTCAGTGAAACAGACTGGATACAGTATCCAAAACTACGCGTGAAATAATCGGATCAGCGAGCACAGGCAGACCCTTTGGTCCTCGCATGGGCAGCACCTGGCTACAGGTGGAAAGCGGAATTAACGCCGGTCGCGCTTTCTAGCCTCACTCCAGAGCTTCTTTTTGCACGTTCCGCCATTGCGGAAATTTTTGCAAAATACGGCTCATCTCCCCGAAAATTACCTGCTCTGGTACGATACCCCCTTCCCCATCCCCCAATCAACCTAGCATCTTATCAGATTTTCCCAGCTTCCCACCACTTTCTCCGGAAGTCCTCCTGGAGGATCCCCGCTTTTCCTTGAAAAACTGGCTCCGGGGAAGGGGGAGGTATATGTGCACCTGGGGATCTCCAGCGAATGGCGTGCTCTGGGTCAGCACAAGCTACTTAAAGTACCTCAGATCTAGCCGGCCTGCTTAGTTGTGTGCGTTCACGGCACCGACACAGTCAATTCCACGCATGAATTTGGGTGGGTACTGTATATATCTGTTTTCCTAAACTTGTAATCTTGTGCCAATTAGGAATCCGCTGATGAAGCTTTGCTTATACCCTAGGAGCCAATTTTGTATTTGAGGTATTACTCGATTTAGCGGTGAATATGAGTCTGCCAAACATTTTCAAGGTTAATCTGACCTTTGCACAAATGACGGGCATCTACGATGCGTATATGAAGAGAAATCTCACACCAGAAATCGGATTCGATCTGTCTCCAATTATGTGGGTTCTGTGGACCGAAGTTCCCTGGAACTTCAAGAGCAAAAGTGGAATATCGATTCAGGATGATTCAACTTTCCGGAGAGCTTTTCGATCTGAACAAGTACCTCAACAAGACTCCTGATCCACAAGAGTATCCGGAAGCCGGACGTTGCTCGGGATTCGTCAAACTAGCGCCAGGAAACGAGGTGGGTGGCACCTCAATGTCTTCCGTTTCCGCTTTTCTTCAAATCTTTTTGGACACTTGAAAAATGAGTCATAAGACTGATTTTAATAGATGATGATAACCCTGGTGGTATAATAAATGATGAGATCTCTTCATATCAGTTATACTCCCATCTATGCGCCCTGATGATTACCACGATCACATTACCTTTCCTTTCGTTGAGCGGATTTCATCTTTTTCAGGATATGTTCTTTGCCCATGTAGCGATGTCGAGCCTCAGCTGGATGATCAGGGTACTGAAGCTGTACAAATTCGCCTTCGGTAAGTCAGTTACAATGTCGCGGATATCGTGCACACTCAATGATGCAAGCGATCAGGTTCTGAGAAGTTGCACGTTATTTGCACAGTGTTTCCTCAAGCAGTTCATCTTACAGATGAAAGAAAGAAAGTCCGCGAGGCAATACGTATCGTTTTCTGGTTACCCAGCTCAACTCGCCTCTGCAGATGACTACACTTTGACCAGTGCTGGATTGGTGACTTTGTTTTACTATTACTTGAAGGTAACCATTCACTGTTCTCTGCTCCTGTCGAGGAGGTGTGGGGGAGGGGGAGGGGAGCAGGCGGAGGAGAGAACAACTCACCGGCAGCAAGCAAGCGGGCGTGCCGAGCGATGTCGCTGCCATAGTGCGGCGAAGGATTTAATTAACAGTGACAGGCGCGGGAGACCCGGGCAAAGGAACCCGTAATTTTGCCCGCCCGGCGCGCGGCAGTGGGCGCGGCGTTTTCTGACTTGCCTTATCCTATCAACTGGAGCACTGGACTTCATGTACACCCCGCCATCATAGACATTCATGACTATTTTCGGTTCTGAATTGCCATGTTGTCAGCCCATCTCCGACCTGGAACATCGCACTATGCCGGAGAGACGTCGCACCCCCACGCCGATTTCAGCGCCGGCGAATTAGGATCATTTTGTCACATACGCTCGAATAGGACTGGCGGGGCGCTGCTATTACTGTGACTTGTGCTAGATTACCCCTATTCTCAGGTCATGTCGCCTGCAGCGGTCGGTAGCGCGCGCGTGTAACCCTCTTTCTCAGTCATGGTTCGCCTCACGTCGTAAGCGCCGCAGTGTACAGTGGTAAAATGGGGAATCAGCTGTGAATACACAACATCTCTTAAGAAGTGTGACGCGTATCCGTGATAGCGCGCTTGCCTTCCATTTCCTGGTGCTCTTAACCTTTTGCTACTTCTTGCCTTCCCCCTTGTCCTACTGTTCTTCACCTTTCATCGGCAAAGTGCCACAAAGCTTATTGCCTCAGGAATGCAAGGGTGGAGCGCTGGGTAAGCACGCGACAAGTATGCTCGTCGGTGAGCTTTTCCGCTGAGCAAGGAGGGGGGGGATGAGCGATAGGGTTTACGAGATGAGATCACTAATTGAAACAGCTCTTCTTCCTGGACAATGTTATACAGTGTTTGAAAAAGAAACGGGGGCGCAAAATCACCTCAAAAAGTGGAGAGGGATTTCAAAATAGCTTCCTGTGCGAAACACGGATCAATGTCATCTGAGGTTCAAGTTTACCGCATTTGAAACTGGTTCGCCCACCCTGGAGCTACTCCACCGCTTTTCCAGCCTCGGCTAAAATTCTTATCCTCACGGATGTGTTCTCCGGATAGTCAATGAAAATAAAACTCTTTCCTAATTCGGCCAAGGCATTTACTGCACCTAGTAGAACAAAACAAACATCAAAAAATTTTTTATAGCAAGGCATTTCAGGGTTCTATCGAGACTACGATTGCCATTTTCAATAAGTCGCTCTATAGTGACAAGTATATCAAACAGAGGGTCACCCGGTGCAACTGTTGGCTTCGATCAACGATTTCGAATTATTTGACGAAGTGAGTCTTCTATGCTGTGCTTGAAATTTCATGAACTTCAAATCACCTCTACCGTGACTGCCTCTTGTAGCAGGATTTCAAGGAACTTAGGGCCCCCCTCATTGATGAGTGGACATTCCTTGCATATCAGAACAGCAACCTCAAGCATTTAGAACAGTTCCGGTGGTACCGTGAATTCATCCAGCCTCGTAATTCTATGCAAAATTTTGAAGGAAACGGGATCGCTAATAACTTTGGTAATGACATTCAAAAGAATCCTACTGCAAAAGTGTGATGGGTCATTATGGACGTGAGGGTTTTTTGCCAGCTTAAAAGAAGAAAAGAGCTTTGAGCGTGCAAATCAGTTTAAATTACGGTAATTCTATTCGAATGGCAGTGCCAGTTTTGCACAAGGAGTCTTGAAACGCCTTCCAGGATAATTCGAGCCGGAATGCGTTTGGAGAGGGGAAATTGCGATTTTTTGTGAACTTTTTGACATACACGCTACACTATAACCCTGAGCTCTTGGAAATGGCGCACGGTCGCATCTCAACACTCTCAAAGCTCACTGCAGTCGAAAACCCGCTGGGACCCTCTAGTGGTAGTTAGACAAAAAATCTTTGGGGCTGCTTAGATTTGAGCAGGAGGGAAGCACTTGTTATGTAGTTACACTAAATTAGAAGCCCGACCCCATTGTACCAAAATTGCCTATAAAAGAACGATTACAAGCGCAGTCCACGCTGCTCGCATGGGTGGAGACTGTCAGCCATCATGTCTTCCTCTTGGTGTGCCCTACCGCCTGAGGTGGTAAAGTACCAAGAGGTAAGGCGCAAGGTTGATTGTGTCATCCTACACTGTTAGTGTGGAGTTCGCAACAGTGAACGGTAGATCATGAGGCGATGAAGGGACAACTGCTGAGGGTGGAGCCCTAGCCTCTACACCATGGCTTTTCAGTGTTGCTATAGCCACAAAGTCACATGCTTCACGTTCACGTTTACGTTCACGTTAAACGAATGGTCCGCGATGACCTATGAAAATGCAGAAAACTGTTATGGGAGGATAGTGCGGTCTGCAGTGAACAGTTTTGTGCCAGTTTTACGGCCGATAAGTTGTAAGGTGTAGGGATTATGCTACAAATTGCTCCACTGGTACCTCCCTTTTTCCAGTGACCTCGCCTCCAGGCTCCGCCCGGAAGGACCCGCGATTACTCGCCATCTCAGATGGTGGATTAGGAGGTTCCATATAGACGACAAGGGGTTGAGTAACTCGACTGTGAACAAAAAAAGCACAAAAAACACAAAATTGCCATCTGCTTCGTGAATAAGAACCCATTTTCGATCCCAGTTTGTACGTGCCAATAACTCGGTCTGCAAAGATACCGGCCCACATTATGCACGGCTGATTCACGATTAGATTTTAACAAGTTGGCGAGTATCATGCTTTCTTCGTCTCTGCCAGTCTCATTTTTTCAACTGGATTTATTTCGCCCCTATAGAATTTTTGCCGCGAAACCGGTACAAGGTTGTTCGTCGCGGACCACTCTAACCTCCTGACGCCATATTTTCAACTTCGATACCTGATCGCGGACCGTGCCTTTAAAGCCCGCCCTTTTAGCAAAAAGCGATGCTACCGGACAAGTACATGAAATGGATGCTACATTGTCTCTTGTGGGGTTCATTACAAAGGGTCAGCAAACTGGAGTCGCCCCAACATGCGGTTTCTTTTTTGGCATTTCACCGTAGTATGTTGAGGCGCCTTCAGGGGGTCGTATTTGAAGGTGTTTTCCAAGTGTTCCCTTTTGGCACTTTCCCCTACGCTACTCGGCACACCGTCCGCCTTCGCGATTTCACCGGCCAATGCCCACGTTTCTAATCGCGAACCGTGCCTTTAACATGCACGAAGTTCACGTTCTAACATTTTATTTATGCTTCAGAACTCCTAAGGAATGGGTCGAATTGTTCTCGCGTCGCTACAACTCTGGCACTTTACAAATCAGGTGGACTTGGTCGACTACAAGCAATTCAAACCCGGCCAGGAGATCCCAAACAAGGACATGCTATGGATTCTTGAACAAACACCGTGAGTTAAACCATGAATCAGATCGCGTGCACAGCAAAAAGAACCTTTTTGGCGCCCCTCCACCTCATTATGTTCAAAGGATTGCTATTCCAATGGGGAAAGGAACAATGGTTCTCTTTCTCCTCCACACGATAAGATGCTGAGCGATGCACTCGCACCCCCCCCCCCCCCCCCACTTATCAGCAGCTTGGACTGAACTGTCTTTCCATTCTAGCGGATCGATTCAAATGCAGGACGTGACGTGGTTCCTCAAGAAGTACTCCTACTGGCCATCATACAATATCCCTTTCATCAAGGAGATCAGTATGGAAGCTGGGTTCAGCGAGAAGGTTCGTTACGATCTTTATTATTTACTAGAACTCTTGTGTTCGAGGACGAAAATCGATGCCTCTCACTTCAGCTAGAGATTTTTGACTGGTAGCAAATGGGCGATTTCATCACACGATGAGCGACGAGATTATGAGAAGGGATCATCATCAAGGTAGGGATATCGATTCGTTGACAAAGCTGATGAGGGTAAGCGACAATAAGCGCCTCATTAGCTGCCGTATGATAGTCCCGCGTTTTTCCATATTATTAATAGCATGGGCAGCAGTGAGGCTCTTGGAAAAAAAGACTTGCGAAAAATCTGGGTGATGGAGAATATCTGTAGTTGATTGGATGTAAAGCAGGAGCCCAGTATATCAGGGGTCTTTTTACGGTTCCCGCGATTAATTGGCTTTTCCAACTAGTCGACCAATACTCCTTGGGGAGATAGCTGAGGAACAGAAAATGATTCGAACTATCGAGGATTATTGATTTATCAACGGTTCAAAACCTCGGTCACGACTCAATACTGGTAGTTCGTATAAATCGCTGCGACCTTGGAATAGAATTCCATGAGTCGCAATATAACATCACAATGGACACTATTTAACGAGGAGGCGGCACTGAGTAGTTACTCCGTAGTGCTCTGCCAGGACACCCTACTTGGTCTACTCTAAATAAATTGCAGCACCGGCACGTCAAACAGCTTGGGCGGAGATACTGGTGCGCAAGCCGCGTAGTGATGGCTTCGTACGTCGGCGCAATCCCATCGAATGCTGGGGTAACAAGCAATGTTGCCCCAAGCTCTGCCAAAGTTCATCAGCACTGAAATACGTAGTCGTGCGACAAGTTGGCGTTCTCAAAGCGAAGGTGTATTTGGGGCATGTGCGCAATGGTGCAACATATGCTCACCGCGCTAGAACTGTGACACTTTTATCAGCTTGAAGGTCGCGCGCAAATGAACCAGCAGTGTGAAGCCTTATTTTAGACTTTTCAAACCACACCGCACTAGTCACACACATGCAGGCTAAGCAGCGATGTAAATGCAAGGCAATCCTCTCGGTCCAACGGTAGTAGACAATCAACGTTGGGAGATGCGAGAGAATCAATGCATTGGGAACTCGAGCTTAGTCAGTCGCAGGCTTGGCACAGGTGATGACTGTTGATGTCTCTATACTGTTGAGTCAGAAAAAGGCATCAGATCGAGTCACTGCCCTCCATCCCTCTTTCTCTGCATTTGTTGCAGTTTGGATAACGAAAGTGGTTCAGTTCTACTGACCTGTTCACTGACCGCTGCGAACACATTCACCAAAGATCAGGATCCTCGAAGGTGAGCGTACAATGTAGCTTTGATCTATTGGATGTTAAGGCAGGGTATAGCATTCTTGGGAACACATGAGGGGGTCGTACTTGACCGCTGGGGGGGGGCTCCTCTATTTGATCGCTGTTAGGAGAGCACAGTCGCATGTGCTTTGAGATAAAACTTTGCCGCGTTTGAGTAAAATTGTTTTCCCTGTTGGTTGACTTTTAGCAGCTTCTTTTCCGTTTACATGCCACTATTTATCCCCCCGCCACCCTTCGACGTAGAGTTTTTGTGTGAAGAACTATAGGGAGGCTGGGAATTTGTAGAAAGTGATGAGTAGGATGTTTGAGGAATTAGTAGAGGAGGGGGGGGGTCGTATGACACATTCACACATCAGATGATGTCCGGTTTGTTTGATGAGCCATCTTCGATTCGCCGCGGCTGCCTACCCATGTTTCGTTCGCATGACATCCGGGGTATACCTTCCTCCTTATCCCCTCAAGCTTTGCTTCTTACCCCTCATATCCGCTCCTCATTGGTCGCTCCCGCTCCACATTTGGTTGAAAGGTACATTTCTCTTGAAATTACTTCACTGTTTATCTGCCATTGCGTTTTATTACTTCAGGTACAATAATTATACTCATGATGAGTTCGCTCGCCTGCAAATGCACACCCCTACATACCTGCTCTGAGGTGAGGTTTGTTTTTATTTTTCACTGAATTCACCAGAAAAGTTTTCTGTGAATTTGATCGGATGTTTATTTTTCAGGGGGAGGAATATATAGCCTGATGGTGACCCATCAAGCCCACCGGTCGGAACCTACGAGGTGGAAAGCATGGGGTACTTTCGACGCATCAGATGCCAGGTCTTGACTACTACAAAGTACGGTACTTGATAACTAGATATTCATCACCATTGTGCTCACTTTATTCCCAAAAGGGGGACAGGACTCGGCGCTCACGCTAATTTGGAAGGCGAGTTCCATGGAAGAAAACCAAATCGTCCACCTTTTCGTAGTTAGGGCGCTGCGCTGTTTGGCTCTAGGAGGAAGTAGGGGGCAAGGTCATTTTGCACCTTTGCGAGTTCCTTCTTGCTCATTTCGGTGAGACCTGTAAACTCTTGTGAAACGGCAAAATAGTACAAGTGAGTCACTTTGTTTACTGGAATGTACAGGTCTTCACAAGGAGACCTTTACATGTTTCGCTGAGCTGCCGTCTGTTGCCCCCACCAAGTCAAACCGCTCTGTGATTCCCTGTCAGCACCAAACCTGTTGTCAGGACAAACCTGTGAAATAAACGGAACGTTACCAATTTCAGGGTACCAATTACGAGATGTTTTCGAAGCTGCGATTCCGAGCATGGGGTGGCCCCACTTACGATCCACTTCCGGTTTTCGAGTAGGTTTCTTTAGCTGTTTCCATGAGAAAACTTATAATCTACCTAATGAAAACCTGCTTTTAGCTGGTCGACAACGAAAGTAGTTGCGAATCATTATGGGCAACCACAAGTGTGGAACTTTACCTATGTGGATTTAGAATGGGAAACGGAAACCACAGTACTTGGTTTCGACAATTCTGATGAGTGAATCTGATCTGCTTTCTTGTTTGTTTTGTACTGGACTATTAAGTTGTTATTCTGTCATGATCTGTTGAATAAACTCTGTGATGAAAATGAAAGGCGTATGGGAAGATACAGTCCTCATCATTGCGGACCGGTGGGGCGTGTCAGCCAGTATGAGTGTGCACACTGTTGAAGCCGTTCTCAGCCTTTTTGTTGAAACGCGTATGCGACAAAAAGTGGTAGAAAACGAGTAATACGAAGGATATAATACAGTAATGTCACTTGCCCGCTTCAACAACTGGTGCAGAACGACTTTGGCACCGCGCCAAACGCAGCCGCACTGACACGCCCCACCGGTCCGCAATGATGAGGACTGTATGTGCCACGTGTGTGCGGGTAGCGCCTTCTCCGTAATTAGCACCTGACTCGTTCAGGAGTACATAGTCCAGGAGGGTTAAGTCTGATATATTTTTCGAAAAAAGTTCAAGACACGATGTGCCGTGGACTTCCTGTATACGACCCTCCAGAACAGCCGTTTCACGTGAACCAGACGTGATGAGTCCAATGAGCCCAATCGCCGCCGCCTTCCCATCAAACGGTCGTGGACTTCCTTCAGGTTGTATTAGGTTGTCCGGAAAGTTCTCAGCGTTTTGAGTGTTTCACTTTAAACGATCATAACTTTCTTAATACTCATCGGATTTAATCGAAATAAGCACCGTTCGCACACTTTTGCCAATGTGACACCAGTCGATAAATCCCATCAAAGAAAAAACTGGGTGGTCGAGAATCCACGAAGGTTTTTTGCCTGGTCCTGATTGATGAAGTATTTTCCAGCAAGGAAGTTCTGAAAATGTTTGAAAAGGTGATAGTCGGTTGGCGAAAGGTCTGGAGAATATGGCGGGTGAGGTAGAACTTCAACCCCCAATTCGTTCAATTTATGGATAGTGATTTGTGAAACGTGTGGGCGGGCGTTGTCATGCAAAGAATCGGACCCTTTCTGTTGACAAGTGCTGGCTGCAGC